CCAGACTCTGCATTCACTATATCTGGTCTCCCAGGACCCTGCATTCACTATATCCGGTCTCCCTGGACCCTGCATTCACTATATCTGGTCTCCCTGGACCCTGCATTCACTATATCCGGTCTCCCTGGACCCTGCATTCACTATATCTGGTCTCCCCGGCCTCTGCATTCACTATATCTGGTCTCCCAGGACCCTACATTCACTATATCCACTCTCCCCGCACCCTACATTCACTATATCCGGTCTCCCGGACCCTACATTCACTATATCCGCTCTCCCCCGGACCCTGCATTCACTATATCTGGTCTCCCTGGACCCTGCATTCACTATATCTGGTCTCCCCGGACCCTGCATTCACTATATCTGGTCTCCCCAGACCCTGCATTCACTATATCCAGTCTCCCCGGACCCTGCATTCACTATATCTGGTCTCCCCGGACCCTGCATTCACTATATCTGGTCTCCCTGGACCCTGCATTCACTATATCCGGTCTCCCACAGTACAGACAACATGGAATGCAATTATTTTAGTAAATATAAACTGCTAAATACATTTTCGCATCAGCAGTTAGAGTAGTCTTGTGACTTCTATCTACTCTAGCAGGATGCAGGACCCCTGACCTCTGTCTGGACAGTGATGATTGGCCCTGTGCTGATTACATGCACTCTCCCAAGAAAAAAAAAAAACCTCTCTAGCAATACACAAAAAACAGCATGTGCAGTGTTTCCACACTTGTATCAGGAGATAAGAGGCGGACACTGGAAGAAGGGGAGGATCAAATAAGTCAGGATCAAACAGCCTTTTTACACAATGCAGAGGATTAACCCCTTAGGTTCCACGGTGAGTATAACAAGCATGCTTTACTGCATATACAGACTGATTGTACTGTTGTGGGTTTAGTAACACTAAGCTTTGGCAATAAAACCTGGACGCTGATTGGTATCTATGCAGAAGTGAGCCTGATCTTGCACTCTCCAGCTCTAGCAAATAAACCCCATTGAGTTATTATCAGTATGTGAAGCATTTTTATTTGATAGTTTACTGCATAAATTCTCAGGATATGTTTATTGCAGGTTCAGTGCATACCTAGATATTTGGATAAAGTAATACATTTGGGCAGCACAGTGGCTAAGCAGTTAGCACTTCTGCCTAGCAGCACTAGGGTTGTCGGTTCAAATCCCAACCATGGCACTACCTGCCTGGAGTTCGGATGTTCTCTCTGTGCCTGTGTGGGTTTCTTCTGGGTACTCTGGTCAGTGGTGTATGTAGGTTTTGCAAAGCCCTAGGCAACACAAAAATGGAACCTCCCTCCCATGGAGAGAGCCCGACACCGACCAACGCCACCAACCCCCATGGAGGAGACAGCCTGAGACATTGACCAACAACATACCTGACCCCCCCCCCCCCACAGCACCACCACCCAAGAGAGCCCTCCACCACCATTGCCTCCCATACACCACCTTTCTCCACCCAGCGAGAGAGAGAAAGAAACGCTCTCCTTCACGGCTCCGGACACCATCGGGAATGAGAGTTGGGCTCTGCATGTACCATCAAGCAGCCCGCAGCCTCTCTTGGATCACACCTGATCCCCATGCCGCGTGTGTCCCTTCTTCCTGCCCCACTGAAAAATGCCACCTAGGCAAATGCCTTGTTTGTGGTAAATACGCCCCTGTCTCTGGTTTCCCTCCCACACTCCAAGGACATGTTGGTAGGTAATTGGATCCTGTCTAAATTGGCCCTAGTATGTGTATGTATGAATGTGAGTTAGGGACCTTAGATTGTACACCCCTTGAGGGTTAGGGAGTGATGTGTATGTACAATATATGCTGTATGTAAAGCGCTGCATAAATTGATGACACTATATAAGTACCTGTAATAAATACATTTTTTTCTGTTTATGCAGAAGCCCCCCAGATGCCTACACCATCTCTGTTACAGATCAGTCAATAACCGAGAACCCTTCAGAAAAAAAAATCAAAGAAAGCCAAGAAGAAAGAGAAGAAAGTGGAAAACCTCAAAAAGGAACTTGAAATTGTAAGTTAAATGAGAAACCTTCATCTTGGACTATTGTGTTCATTTCATAAAATGTTTTGTTAAAAGTGGTATTAAACCCCCTATTTAAACCTGTACTTGCAGGTAAGACTTACAACAAGCAGGGGCGGACTGACCATTTGGAAACTTGGGCACTGCCCGAGGGCCTGGGGTCAGTAAGGGGCCCCATGAGATGCCCCTGGTACTTTTTTCATAGGCTTTTTTGAGTTTGGGCAAGGACACAGGGGCCCCATGATCCCCTATTGCCCGGGGGCCCCATGAGTTGTCAGTTCGCCCCTGACAACAAGACTTGCCTGTAGGTTCAATGAATGTCTCCTAAGCATGCACCACCTAGGAGATATTCACATTGTCAAGAGCAGATGATGTCACCGGCACATGTGTAGTGATGCTCTACATTCAGTTCATTCTGGGGGTTGATTTACTAAAGGCAGATAGACGTGCCCTTTGCAAAGTGCAGTTGCACCCCATAAGTGCAATTGTTCCAGAGTTTAGTAAATAAGCAGAAGATCTGCTGACTTCCATCATCCAATCATGTGCAAGCAAAAATGTTTTTTTTAATTTCCTTGCACGTGATTGGGTATTTTTTTTTGCAAAGTGGAGCTTTATCTCATTTACTAAGCTCTGGAGCAACTGCACTTTGCCAAGTGTACAGTCTATTTGCCTTTAGTAAATCAACCCCAGAGTGTGTATGGGATACAGCGCACCGTGCCACATGGGAGTTGCATCATCACGGCCTGGCCATTCCAAGCAGCCGGAGTGTGCAAAAACCAGAGGTAAGACCATACGGAAGCTGCCGGCAGCGGTGCAGTGGCCACTGGAGGGCTTTGTCTGTATGGTAAGTCGGCCGTAATGTGCTAGTATGTGGTGAATAATAGCACATTATGGCATTAACCTGCAGGGGACCCTTTTTAAAAAAATTAATTCAGTAAAAAGTTTACCAAAAGTTGCCAAAACAAGAGTGACACATGATTAACCACTTGACTTCCAGAAGGATTTACCCCCTTCATGACCAGCACATTTTTGCTATTTATCACTGTGCTACTTTAACTGGCAATTGCTCGGTTATGCAGCACTGTACCCAAATTACATTTATATTTTTTCCCACACAGATAGAGCTTTCTTTTGGTGATATTTGATCACCACTGGGATTTTTATTTTTTATTCTATAAATGAAAAAATACTGAAAATTACTTCTTGAGAAAATAGTGTTTACTTTCTGGTATAAAACATATCCAATAAAAAAAAAGTTAAAAATCAAATTTCTTTATAAATTTAGGCCAAAATATATGACATGTACATGTCTTTGGTAAAAGAAAATCCCAATAAGTGTGTATGAATTGGTTTGTGAGCAAGTTATAGCATCTACAAACAATGGTATAGACTGTATATTGGAATTTCCACAGCTATGGTGCTATACTGGTAACGGCAGTGATCAGCAACCTGTAATGGGACTGTGATAGTGTGGTGGGCAATTTGGCGCTAGCTGACAGGATACACTAACTGACCATAAATCATTGGCCGGGACCTGCTGACCAAATCCTGCTGTAGCCTGTGACAGCGGGAGGGCTAGCAGCGGGTACGCACATGCATGCCCATAACCCGGAACAGGCTGGATGATGGACATGTAAATGATCGAGCCTGCCAGTGCCACCGCCTGCAGTAATTGTACTGTGGGAGGGTGGGAAGTAGTTAAAGATCAACAGTATCACACAAGGATTTCCCAAAGTTATGATAACCTAGATAACTTGTTTTCACTGACTTCGAGCAAATGAAAGTAAAGTAATTAAATTATTAAAAAAAAAACACTACTGTTAATTAATTGACTGTTGGTCTGTAGAACATATTCTTCTGTTGATCTAAAAGAAAACAGTTCATTTTTCAGATTTTTTTTTACATTCTAATGATTATCTCTGAGAAACAAACCATGAACAAAATGATAACACTGTTGTTGAAATAACTCCAATTTTTGTTTTAGACGGACCACAATTTAAGTGTAGATGACCTGGAGAAGAAATACTCAGTGAACATTAAGGAGGTAAGTCTATGGAAAAAAAAACGAGTAAAATTTTTGTTTCACTGTAGCTTTCATTGTAATTCAGTTTCAATTCCAAAAACATCATTTTAGTTGTCAAATTGTTGTTAATAAACAAGAGAGTTCACAGACCTGTAACTAAGCAAAGTAAGTGTTTTTGTCAAACAGATAATAAAACAAATTGTAGTGAGCGCTCTTAAATATATACAGCAGCTAGAACACTCCAGGTAACAATAATACCTTCAAAATATATGTATATAAATGTAAAAAATAAACAATGCAGCGCTCAAAAATAAATTAAAGGCAGTATAAAGTCTATATGCGATATCCACGGTGTTGTCTGGATTAGATGAAAAACTTCCAGAATATTTACTGCTTCAAATAATAGCAATGCGCACTCACCAGAAACGCATGGATTATGCGTATGTAGCAGTAATCATCCCAGATGTCAGATCCATCGAAGAGGGATGCCCACCACTCTTCAATGGATCTGACATCTGGGATGATTATTCCTACATACGCATAATCCATGCGTTTCTGGTGAGTGCGCATTGCTATTATTTGAAGCAGTAAATATTCTGGAAGTTTTTCATCTAATCCAGACAACACCATGGATATCGCATAGACTTTATACTGCCTTTAATTTATTTTTGAGCGCTGCACTGTTTATTGTTTACATTTATATACATATATTTTGAAAGTGTTTTTGTCAGTTTGCAGAAGTCATGCAACAATCCATACCCACCAACTGAATTAATCTTTCATTGTTCCAATGATATTTTAATAATTTTTTAATACATATGTTTGTGGTTACTTGTAGGGCCTAAGCACTGCCGCCGCTGAGGAGATTCTTGCTCGGGATGGACCTAACAAACTTTCTCCTCCAAAAGGAACCCTGGAATTGTGAAATTTTTGATGCTTATGGCTGGTGGATTTTCCATTGTGTTTTGGATTGCGAGTGCTTTGTGTTTCCTTGCCTATGGTCTACAAGTTGCACAGGATCCCACTGTTTCTAAAGACAATGTAAGCATAACTGTAAATGGAAGTTTTGTTTTCCTGTTTTCAATATGCCTTCTGTTCCTCGCTAAATCATAAACATTCTCTGTTTCCAGCTCTGGTTGGCTATAATCCTTATTGGTGTAGTCGTGCTGACCGCCCTCTTTGCATATTACCAGGAAGCCAAAAGTACAAACATTATGGCCGGCTTTAAGGACATGGTTCCTCAGGTGAGAAATGTCACACATTTAGTAAACTGATTTTTAAAATTATCCAATGATACACTGAGGTGAGATTTATTCCTAACCTGCATCTCTGTCAACCTAGCAAGCCGTGGTTCTTCGGGATGGAAAACGTGTAGAAATGGTAGCGGAGAAGCTTGTTGTAGGTGACATTGTTTATTTGAAAGGAGGAGACAAAATCCCAGCTGATTTGCGCCTACTGGAGTGCCATGGCTGCAAGGTGAGACTTTGGGAAATTTGCACAATAGTTACATAGTTATTGAGGCTGACAAAAGACACTAGTCCATCTAGTTCAGCAATGGGCAAACTACGGCCCGGCGGACCTTTTAATCCGGCCCGCGGAGCGTGATACTGTCAGGATGGCTGTCAGGATGTGTGTAGGCGGGGCAGCGTGACGAACGTGAGGGGAGCTAGGCTCCTCTCACAGTCCGCCCTGAAGACCGGAACGGCGCGGGAACATGGCGAGAGGAACGCGCGGAGCAAAGGTAAGTGCATTGACACAGGGGGGACTTGGGGATTTAATATGGGGGATGAATTAATATGGGGAATGAATTACTATAGGGGGGATGAATTACTATAGGGGGGATGAATTACTATATGGGGGATGAATTACTATATGGGGGATGAATTACTATGGGGGATGAATTACTATATGGGGGATTAATCACTATGGGGGATTAATTACTATGGGGGATGAATTACTATGGGGGATGAATTATTATGGGGGATGAATTACTATATGGGGGATGAATTACTATGGGGGATGAATTACTATGGGGATGAATTACTATGGGGGATGAATTACTATATGGGGGATTAATTACTATGGGGGATGAATTACTATGGGGGATGAATTACTATGGGGGATGAATTACTATATGGGGGATTAATTACTATGCTTACTATGGGGGAATATTACTATACTTACTATGGATGACACATACACATCATTCATCTACTCTTGGTCCGGCCCCCGGGTCCAATATATGAACCCATTGCGGCCCTCAAGTCAAAAAGTTTGCCCACCCCTGATCTAGTTCAACCAACAAGAAAAAGATATTGACCAACCCCCATATACACAGTTCTATATCCACAGCTGATCCAGAGGAAGCCAACAATATCCAAATAAAGCATGATCCAATTTGCTCCCGTAGGATAAAATTCCTTCCTGATATTCCCTGGATCAACTACACCTGGTGTAATTTTTCTTCTAAATAATAATATCCACTTATATTATGTGCATTTTGGAATGCACCCAGGCCTTTTTACTGCCTGAACTAACTCTTGAGGGAGTCTATTCCACATTTTCACAGCTCTTACAATGCCGAGGAAATCTAGGGCTTCTTGGCTTGCAATATGAATCAAGTAAAACAACCCTAAGCAACCAAAATAATATGGTGTTCTTGCTACACAGGTTGACAACTCGTCTCTGACTGGTGAGTCAGAAGCACAACCTCGAGGTGTGGAGTGCACACATGAGAATCCGCTAGAGACCAAGAACCTTGGGTTTTACTCTACCACCTGCTTGGAAGGTAAGCTTTAGGCTTCTATACAAACCTGACTTTTGTGACACATAAAATTCAGTTTATTATTCCAAATTTTGTACATCAACTCAATGTCAATACTTACAGGTAGCATTTGAGCGATCGACTATGTATTCAAACAGGTTCTAAGAAATAGATTCTCACCTACAGGTGCAGCAAGTGGAATTGTCATAAACACAGGTGACCGTACAGTGATTGGACGTATTGCTTCCCTGGCCTCACGAGTCGGAAATCAGAAGACACCCATAGCTCTGGAGATTGAGCACTTTGTCCAGATAATTAGTGGCCTTGCAGTGTTTGTTGGAGGAGTTTTCTTTATCATTTCATTGGCTATGGGTTACAGTGCTCTCAATGCTGTTATATTTTGCATCGGCATCGTGGTAGCCTATGTACCAGAAGGTCTACTGTGCACTGTCACTGTAAGTATAAGTACTGCTTGTTAATTACAATACCATACACCCAGGGGCGGACTGACAACTCATGGGGCCCCCGGGCAATAGGGGATCATGGGGCCCCTGTGTCCTTGCCCAAACTCAAAAAAGCCTATGAAAAAGGTACCAGGGACATCTCATGGAGCCCCCTACTTTCCCCGGGCCCTCGGGCAGTGCCCGAGTTTCCAAATGGTCAGTCCGCCCCTGCATACACCTAATAGATACTTGATTCAAATATTACAACTTTTGTGATAACCCTTATTGCCCTTCCTCCTAGGTCTGCCTGTCACTTACTGCAGTACGTATGGCAAAGAAGAATTGTTTGGTTAAGAACCTTGAGGCTGTGGAGACACTTGGATCTACTTCGGTCATCTGCTCCGACAAGACTGGTACCCTGACACAGAACCGTATGACAGTGGCTCATATGTGGTTTGATAAAATCATTCACAACGCGGATACCACTGAGGATTGCACTGGTAAGGCCCCCATTTCTACTTTAAAAAAACACTAGTTGTTATTGCAATCAGCAAACTCTTAACTTGTCTATTTTATAACATATGCTTTCAGACACTTTGGGGTTCATTTACTAAAACTGGTGAGTGCAAAATCTGGTGTAGCTCTGCATAGAAACCAATCAGCTTCTAGTTTTCTTTGTCAAAGCCTAAATGAACAAGCTGAAGTTAGAAGCTGATTGGCTACCATGCTCAGCTGCACCAGATTCTTCACTCTCCGGTTTTAGTAAGTCAACGTCTAAGTCACAATGCAAAAAAATGTATCTTACATAGTACATGTTATCAGGAGTGTATTTACCACAAGGCAAACAAGGCATTTGCCTAGGGCGGCATTATTCAGGGGGGCAGCACTGCTCCCCAGAGGAAGGGACAAAAGAAGGGACACACGCAGCATGGGGACCAGGTGGGATCTGAGAGAGGCTGCGGGATGCTTGACGGTGTATGCAGAGCCTGACTCTCATTCCAGGGGATGTCTGGAGCAAGGGCGGACTGACCATTTGGAAACTCGGGCTCTGCCCGAGGGCCCAGGGTCAATAGGGGGCCCCATGAGATGCCCCTGGTACCTTTTTCATAGGCTTTTTTGAGTTTGGGCAAAGACACAGGGGCCCCATGATCTCCTATTGCCCGGGGGCCCCATGAGTTGTCAGTCCACCCCTGGTCTGGAGCCATGAAAGTGAGTGTCTTTCTCTCGGTGTATGGAGGGTGGTGGTAGTGGAAGGCTGTCTTGGGTGGGGAGGTGGTATTGGTCGGTGTCAGGCTCTCTCCGTGGGGGGGGATTTTTGTGTTGCCTAGGGCAGCACAAAAACTAAATACACCACTGCATGTTATGTTTAGATAAACATGAATGTGACCAATCTATAACTGTTGTTATCTATCTATTTCTTCAGGAGAAATGTTTGATCAGAGTTCACCCTCCTGGTCTGCATTAGGTAGAATTGCCACCCTGTGCAACAGGGCAGAATTCATTGGAGGTCAAGAGGAAGTTCCCATCAGCAAAGTAAGTAAGAGTAGCATTATATATGGAACATGTTCAAAAGCCCCTTGAGGGTTAGGGACTGATGTGAATGTACAATATATATGTAAAGCGCTGCGTAAATTGATGGCGCTATATAAGTACCTGAAATAAATAATTTACAAATTCCTCATTATTTGTAATGTGATTACCTAATGTGCTCTTCTGGTTCTTTGCGATTGTATTACCATCAGACACATTTAGTTTAATGAAAGGCTAATTTACTTTCAACTTTCCCATTCAGAAAACAGTCAATGGAGATGCCTCTGAAGCAGCATTGTTGAAATTTACTGAGCAGATCTACGGGAATGTGATAGAAATTAGGCAAAGAAATAAAAAAGTGTTTGAAATTCCATTCAACTCAAGCAATAAGTACCAAGTAAGTGATTGAGCAGATATAAAAATTCTGCTATCCAAATGTACTTCCTCTTGATTAGTAATGAGCCAAATGCCTTGGGTTCAGATTTGGGGTAAGTGGCAAACTTAAGGAAAGTTTGAATGCCGAATCTGAACCTCACTGAAACCAACGGGAGCTGAATCTTATAAATTAGTATAACAAATGATGAGGGGCTAGGCCAGCAATGGGCAAACTACGGCCCGCGGGCCGTATACGGCCCGGCGGACCTTTTAATCTGGCCCGTGGAGCGTGATACTGTCAGGATGGCTGTCAGGATGTGTGTAGGCGGGGCAGCGTGACGAACGTGAGGGGAGCTAGGCTCCTCTCACAGTCCGCCCTGAAGACCGGAACGGCGCGGGAACACGGCGAGAGGAACCCGCGGAGCAAAGGTAAGTAAATTGACACAGGGGGGACTTGGCTTACTACTTGGGGGGGAATAGTACTATGGGGGATGCAATACTATATGAGGGATGAATTAATATGGGGGATGAATTAATATGGGGAATGAATTACTATAGGGGGGATGAATTACTATAGGGGGGATGATGAATTACTATATGGGGGATGAATTACTATGGGGGATGAATTACTATATGGGGGATTAATTACTATGGGGGATGAATTACTATATGGGGGATGAATTACTATATGGGGGATGAATTACTATGGGGGATGAATTACTATGGGGGATGAATTACTATATGGGGGATTAATTACTATGCTTACTATGGGGGAATATTACTATACTTACTATGGATGACACATACACATCATTCATCTACTCTTGGTCCGGCCCCTGGGTCCAATATATGAACCCATTGCGGCCCTCAAGTCAAAAAGTTTGCCCACCCCTGGGCTAGGCTCTGTCCTAGGGTACATGTACCAAAGCATTGAAAAAAAAATAAATTCCATTTAGCAGGGGCAGCAATTTTAATAATGCTTAAACTGAAACGTTAAAAATACAAAATTGTACAATTATTGGGCAGATCCCATCCATTTTTTTACACTAACTTTATCCCTTTGTTTACAATCACTTATCAGCTGGAAATCTCCAGCTGTCTGGTGAATGGGCTAGGCAGGGGTTGACTCATTGGTTGTTAGAATGCCAGCGGCTTCCAGCCTCCCAACTACCAGATTGTAGGAAAGCTGTCACATTTAGCAGTGGTAATATACCGCTGCTAAAGGTTTCTCTTCCTGCCAGGGGCGGACTGACCATTTGGAAACTCGGGGCACTGCCCGAGGGCCCGGGGTCAGTAGGGGGCTCCATGAGATGCCCCTGGTACCTTTTTCATAGGCTTTTTTGAGTTTAGGCAAGGACACAGGGGCCCCATGATCCCTTATTGCCCGTGGGCCCCATGAGTTGTCAGTCCGCCCCTGCTTCCTGCTGCAGCTGAAGTTTTGGCTTGTCCGAACACCATTTTATTTAGGCTGTTCATTGAACCACTAAACAAGGAAAATTCAGTCCCAACATTTGAACTCTCAGCTCATTCCTAATCATGATTATCCCATATTCCTTCATCCCTCACCATTCCCTCATCTGTCATTATTAATTATCATTATTTCCTGGACTTTCACTACTTCTCAGCACTCTTCATCATCAGTTTTCAGCCCTTGCCATTAATTCTTTAGTCAAAATATTCAATCTGATTACTTTTTTTTTCCCATCACATAGGTCTCTATCCACATCCCAGAAGATCCTGCTGAGAAAGGCTACTTGCTGGTGATGAAAGGTGCACCAGAGCGAATCTTGGACAGATGCAGCACCATCATGATTGGAGGACAGGAATGGCCACTGGATGATGAATTGAAAGACCACTTTCAGCAAGCATATATGAATCTGGGAAGTTTAGGAGAACGAGTTCTAGGTAAGCCCGCAAGCCCAATCATCATTGTTACTTTGAGAGATATTCTAAAATTCCTAAAGCTTTTCTGTCGACTGTTTGCATTTTTTTAATTGTATCTGATAAAACATGATGTCCCTTAAAGACCATTTCTTAATATTTCACAGGATTCTGTCAGTTACTACTTCCCTGTTCAGCTTATGGACCTGGATACCCATTTGATGCAGATAGTGGAAATTTTCCATTAAATGATCTTTGCTTTGTTGGCCTCATTTCTATGATTGACCCTCCTCGTTCCACTGTTCCTGATGCTGTCATGAAGTGCCGCAGTTCTGGAATTAAGGTATTGACACACCATCTGAAATTTCTGAATAGTCTTAACCCTTTGAGGACCAAGGGACGTATTTGTCCCATGTTTTTAATTGCGTGTATCATCTGATTAAGAACTTAAAACTCTTTTTTTTTTTTTGGTTTGAGTCAAAATATTAGTTCTTATCAACAAACAACAAATGGATCTAGGTTTTTGCAATTATTTCATGAAATGGCTTAGTTACAGCAACTGAAGTGTACAAACTTTAAAAACAAAAAAATTGATTCTTTTGGCGTTCCAAAATCTTACGGTCCTCAAAGGGTTAAACATCTGATGATTGTCACATTTCTCATCATAAAATGCTTTCAAATTACTGATGACCTTTAAAGCTATAACAACATTTCAATTATTTACTTGTAAAATATCTTTGAATCACTTCTCGGCCTTTTGGCTAAGATCAAGTGTTGAAAACAATTCTATGATATGTTCACAACAGGTTATTATGGTGACTGGTGACCATCCAATTACTGCAAAAGCCATTGCGAAAAGTGTAGGCATTATATCACCTAACAGCGAGACTGTAGAGGACATTGCGCAAAGGCTTGGAGTTCCAATTGAAAGTGTAAATCCAAGGTAAGTATATCTTATTCACACTTTATAATCAATTTATTTCCTAATTTAATTTTCCCCAACAAACATCTAACATTATTGCTACTTTCAGAGATGCTTGTGCAGCTGTGGTAAACGGTGGAGAACTACTTGAAATGTCTTCTGATGAGATGGACGATATCTTAAAACATCACCAAGAAATTGTATTTGCACGGACATCACCACAGCAGAAGCTTCTTATTGTTGAGGGGTGTCAGAGACTAGTAAGTTGGAGAAGGAGGCTAAAGAAAAATATAAATAGGGATGACATGGGAGGGGGCAAAAAATAGAAGTTGAAACAAGCCACACTTATATAATTGATTCATAAATAATTGAAAGACCACTTACATTAAAAGATAGACAACAAAATCTAAAAGAGAAGAAAGGGGGCAAGAAAGTACAAAAGGAAGTAAAAAGACACGAACCTAGAGATCTCCAAGGGTGGCTGATATTAGGTCTAAAGGAGAAGACAGCTGGATTTGTGTGTAGTGGGCCCAGGGTTCCCATGTTGTCTCAAATTGACTCACTGTATCATTTATTACACCTGAAATCTTTTCATGAAGCATCATCCAAAAGATTTTATGTTTAACTTGCTTTATAGGTAGAAAGGATTTCTTCCATGCTCCTGCTACACAATCATGCCACTGCAGACACACTTTCTGTCTCCATCTCAAAGAGTCCTCCTAGTTCTTGTTTTGTACTACAGAATAATTTGCCTTTATGTTGCAGAGATCTGAGAGTGGGTGTGTTTGAGTAGTTTAGCAAAAGACACTGGGCAGGACTGACACCACTCAGTTCACAAAAATTGTGTGTTGTTGGCCCACAACAGGAATTGAGAGCTAAGTGCATTTCTGGCAGGTCGACTGATATTTTTCTGTATTTATAGGGTATTTAAACAGATATAACTTGCAGGAATATACATGTATTGAAGAGATCTATTGCATTTTATTTTTGCCTTGACATATGCTTTAAAAACATATGATGGGAGCACCAAGGGTAGATGAGAAGTACACATACCTTTAGAACCACAAATATTTTCTATGACATTATTTATGATTGATTTAAGAGAGTATGTAGAGCAGTAGTATCCAAATTCTGGCCTGCAGGCTGATTGAGGCCCTTGGCTTTCCTTTACCTGGCCTTTGGGGCACTATTCCTTCCACTGACACCAATTATGGGGCACTGTTCTTCCTACTGACACCAGAGATGGGGAACTAAGTCCCCCACTGACACCAATGATGGGGACCAATTCCTCCCACTGACCACCAAGCCTATGGCAACAGTCTGCCCCCTCCTAAAGTTTAAAAGGCAATAAACTGGCCCTTTGTTTTGAAAGTTTGGAGACCCTTGATGCAGAGCACTGTTTAAGTAGTGTTTGCTATAATTTTTAGGGCTCTATTGTGGCTGTTACTGGAGATGGAGTGAATGACTCCCCTGCATTGAAGAAAGCAGATATTGGTATTGCCATGGGAATTGCTGGATCGGATGCTGCCAAACACACTGCAGACATGATTTTGCTGGATGACAACTTTGCTTCAATTGTGACTGGTGTAGAAGAAGGTAAGTTACGGGTTCAATAATATCAGAAGGTCATACAAAACTAATCTAGAATGCTGAAATCTTTAGCTTTCCAATAAAATGAAATTAATCCATGATGATAGCCCTTGCTCCATGATGACAGCCCTTGCTCCATGATGACAGCCCTTGCTCCATGATGACAGCCCTTGTTCCATGATGACCCTTGTGATTCTAAACCAGATTACCACTCTCAACAAGTTACAATTTAAAGAAATTCATCTGTTAAGTTTCTCACAATTTCATTGCTCTTTTCTTACAGGGCGCTTGATATTCGACAACTTGAAGAAGTCAATTTCCTATACAGTGACCAAGAACATTCCTGAGATGATCCCCTTCATGATCTATGTGATTATCAGTTGCCCGCTGCCTCTTGGAACCATCACCATTCTCTTCATTGAACTGGGCACTGACATTGTAAGTATAGGTACAAAACACCCAACATGGACATACTAAAGATGATATTGGGCTGTCCTTTCTCTAATGTTACACCTTTACTCAAATTTCCTCAGATCCCATCCATTGCTCTGGCTTATGAAAAGGCAGAAAATGACATTATGTTACGAAAACCACGAAACCCCCGCAAAGATCGCCTGGTGAACATGGAGTTGCTTTGTTATTCCTATTTCCACATAGGTAAGACCGAGCAAAAAAATTTATTGGAAGAGAAACTGTCCCCTTAAATTCCATAAATTTGGGATCTTTGGTGTAACTCTAACCTCATCCGAAGCTTGGGATAACATACCCTGGTCCAAACACTAGCGCAACCTCTATATATTAAACTCTTTGAACTTTGTCATAGATTACACGTATGTAATCAGGACTGTATGAGCCCAGAAAAACAAACCTGAAATAGATTATTAGATTGTTTTGCCTGCAACCATTCTCAGTAACTCATAACTCCATCCTCTTCGCTTACAGCTGCCATGGAAACGTACGCTGGGTTTGTGAATTATTTTACCATATTGGCCGAGCAGGGATTCCTTCCTGCAAGAACTATTAATATTCGAGTCACTTGGGAGGATAAGAGAATCAACGACCTAGTGGACAGTTATGGACAAGAATGGGTAAGAAACCAAAAATGGTAATTCCATGTTTAATCAAGCAGTGGGCACATGCAGCATCTCTCATGTTTTAATGCTTCAGAAGGCAACAAAAGGATTTCTTTGTTGGTCAAAGATTTTGAGAAGCTGCTGTTCTCGGAAGTTCCCCAAACACTAGATTTTTCATTTCAAAATCTAAACTCCCGTACACATGATGAGAATATTGGACGAATGATCGTCTGTTTTTATTTTTTATTTTTGCATGCTAGTATTGATAATGAAAAGGTTATTAAGGTTGTGAAACTTCTTGTAGGACAGAATAAAGAAGTGATGTCATGTATTGCGATGTATTTTTATTGTATTTTCGGACGAAAACTATAAAATGATGCTGATTAAACGAAAATCGTACAGTTTGGTATCATACGAGAAAATTGTTCATGCTTGTTCCTTCAAATAACTTCAGCTTAATGGATTCCTCCATCCACACTAGACAACACAGATGGAAGAATCACCCTGCTGGGTTATTGTATTTGATTGGATGATGTTCAGCCAAACATTTTCCAGCAGGCTACTTTGTCAAAATTGTTGTATGGCGCGGGGCCACTCATTGAGCATATCTCATCTGGTTCATTAGGAACCGGTCAACATTTTCTCAGTATATGGCTAGCTAAAGGGCTCTTTTACACCAGAATGTGGTATGGGAATCTCATGTTCCCGGCATGTTTCCCGAACCACATTCAAAACGCATCGGATGTGTGTGATCTGCTGCAGGTGTCAATGTGATGTTAATGATACCCAGGGGCGGACTAACAACTCATGGGGCCCCCGGGCAATAGAGGATCATGGGGCCCCTGTGTCCTTGCCCAAACTCAAAAAAGCCTATGAAAAAGGTACCAGGGTCTCTCATGGGGCCCCCTACTGACCCCTGGCCCTCGGGCAGTGCCCGAGTTTCCAAATGGTCAGTCCGCCCCTGATGATACCCCAAAGGTAGATTGCAAATGCAGCGTGCTTGCCTGCACTGGATCGCATAGTAGCACAGTAGCATGTTATCCGTTACAGTGCATTTTTAAAAAAACTTCTGGTGCAATCCAGTGTGATTTCAGCTCATTCAAATGAATGGGCTGAAAATCACATCACAAAGGAACTCTGCGTTCCTGTGCAATTCCAGAGTTAACTGACACCAAGTTCTAGGAAACATAGGGGTTGATTTACTAAGGGCAAATAGACTGTGCACTTTACAAGTGCAGTTGCTTCAGATCTTAGTAAATGAGGGGGAGCTCTACTGACTTCAATCATCCAATCATGTGTTTCCAGGGCAGTGAAATCTGACAATGAACACCGTGTCCATTTTTTTTTCTTTAACAGACATTCAAACAGCGCTTGGCTTTGGAGTGGTATTGTTACACAGGGTTCTTTATAAGTATCGTTGTCTGCCAGATGATGAACACGCTAATCCGAAAGACAAGGAAAAACACTCTCTTTACCCGCAACTTTTTCAGGTAACAATGAGTGAATGATCTGATTGTATTCTTCATTGGGAATTAACAGTATTAGCCAGTAGTTTTCATACCCTGGGTACAGGGGCGGACTGACAACTCATGGGGCCCCCCAGCAGAAGGGGATCATGGGGCCCCTGTGTCCTTGCCCAAACTCAAAAAAGCCTATGAAAAAGGTACCAGAACACAGTCAGTGTTGATGGGGGAATCTCTCCCTCAGAGCCATTGTGTTTTTTTGGTGGGAGCCTTCGCAACAGAACACAGAAGAGAACACAGTGATTGCACACAATTGCTGGTTGTACTGAAGTAGACCCAGTCTGCCCATAGATAGATCAAATCTTGACTGGTCACTGCATGTTGCAGGAAAGAAAATCACTCCATTCTCCCATCAACATAGTCAATGTTGATGGGGGAATCCCTCCCGTGGAGCTATTGCTATAGTCGCTGGCAAGAATTGTATGAAAACCCAACAGGCTCTGTGATTGGTCTCTGTGGGTTGAAGGAAAGAAAATTGCTCCATTCCCCCATCAACATAGTCAATGTTGATGGGGCAACCCTTCTAGTGGAGTATTTGCTATAGCTGCTGGCAATAATTGTATGAAAATCCAACAGGCTAGCTGTACCCAAGTCGTGCAACAATCAAATTGGTTACAATCAGCCTGCTTATAGATGGTTCAAATCTTGGCCAGTCCTTGCTGAACCTGTTGAGATTCGACCCTTCTATGGCCAGCTTAACTCTCTTGACAACTGCTGAAATAAGATATCAGCCACACAAGAGAGATAATTGTTTTTGATAAACCCTCCTCCTTTTTGTTACATGTTCCCAGGGGCGTCCGTAGGGTTGGTGTCACCCGGTGCAGTAACACTTGGTGACACCCCTGCAGAATGGATCGGATCTGCGGATTGAGCATAATGGATCAGACTCCATTATTATTATTATTATAATACAGGACTTATATAGCGCCGACAGTTTGCTCAGCGCTTTACATTATGCAGGGAGACAGTACAGTAACAATACAGTTCAATACACAAGGGATTAGAGGGCCCTGATCCTTGGAGCTTACAATCTAGGAGGGAGGGGATAGTGGTACAAAAGGTAATTAGCTATGGGGGATGGAGTGGTAGGAAGAATAGAGGATTCCAGTATTAGCTGGGGTCAGGGTAGGCTTTCCTGAAGAGATGGGTTTTCAGAGTGCGCCTAAAAGTGAGCAGAGTAGGCAATACTCTGATATCCGTGGATCCAATCCATCCTGCGGGGATCGTCGACTTTCTTTACAACTTACATTTTCTTGGAGTGGGTCCAGTGTAGCGGCAAGGTGTGTCTCCCACATAGATATGTCCTCCCTGAAGCAACTGTGCATGTCCCGGTTGAAACCGGGACATGCGCAGTTGCTTCAGGGGGACATATCTACATGGGAGACACATCTTGCCGCTACACCGGTGTCACCCCGTATAGGTTGCATGACGACGATTCCCGCAGGATTGTCGGCATGCAACCTATACAGGGTGACACCGGATCCACTCCAAGAAAAGGTAAGTTGTAAAGGAAGCTGACGATCCCCGCAGGATGGATCCCATCCATCCTGCGGGGATTGTCGGCTTGCTTTACAACTTACCTTTTCGTGGAGCGGGTCCGGTGTCACCCCGTGCGGTCGGTGTCACCCCGGTGCGGACCGCACCCCCCGCACCTGCCTCGGGAGGCCACTGCATGTTCCACATGCTCCCAACCATCACCCTCACCCCCAGAGGTAGGGTGGCAGATTTTCTGTGTGGCCTAGAACAGCACAAAATCTAAATACGCTCCTGCTAAGGACCTTTGGATGTCTGTGGCCCAGCTCTAACCTTCACTAACTTTTCACAGAATGATGTACTTGTAGGCAGATGATGTCTAATGAGAAGGGGTTGTACCAGGGGCGGACTGACAACTCATGGAGCCCCCGGGCAATAGGGGATCATGGGGCCCCTCTGTCCTTGCCCAAACTCAAAAAAGCCTATGAAAAAAGTACCAGGGGCATCTCATGGGGCCCCCTACTGACCCCGGGCCCTTGGGCAGTGCCCGACTTTCCAAATGGTCAGTCCGCCCCTGGGTTGTACTAATGCAGGCAACATACATTGGAGGCAAAGCTACTATCTTGCCTTGCTCCCTGTTCTGTCTTATATTAGCCTATTAGCTGTTATTAGTTGTTAACTTCTATTCCTTTGTTATACTTTTCTACCATACAAAGAGTGTGCAAACTATGAAACTATTTCTTTACCATTGTTCTCTTGTCCACAGGAATAAAATGATATTTTTGGGATTATTGTCACAAGTTGGTATTGGATTATTCATGTGTTATATCCCTGGCATGGACGAGGCCTTGCATTTCATGAATATTCGGTGAGTACCAGAAAGCTCAAGATTTTACATCAGCTTTGTACATATTTTGTTTATAGCCTGTAATATATTATTTCAGGTACTTATATAGCACTGTCAATTTATGCAGTGCTTTATACATATATATATTGTACATTCACATCAGTCCCTAACCCTCAAGGGGTGTACAATCTAAGGTTCCTAACTCACATTCATACATACACATATTAGGGCCAATTTAGACATGATCCAATTAACCTACCACCATGTCTTTGGAGTGTGGGAGGAAACCCACACAAGCACAGGGAGAACATGCAAACTCCATGCAGGAGGCGCCATGGTCGGGAATCAAACCCATGACCCATTTACTACAAGGCAGACTTGCTAACCACTAAGCCACTGTGCCGCCCATATATACCCCTTTATTTATTTAGTGTACAGTGCTACCGTGTTACATTATATACTGTTTTTTTTTCTAATTGTCCATAGCAGTGGTCTCCAAAAATGTGTCCCTTTGCTTGATTTTATCTGGCCCTTCAAGCACATTTTCTCCCATTGATGCAAGACACTATTCCTGCCACTGACACCAACAAAGGGGCATAATTACTGTTACTGACATCAACAATGGGGCACTATATATCCCATTGACGCCAACCAGGGGTGTATTTACCACAAGGCATTTGCCTAGGGCGGCATTTTTTCAGGGGGGCAGCAGCATTTTTCAGGGGGGCATCACTGCCCCCCGAAATAAAGGATGGTAGAAAGTACACACACAGCATGGTAACCAGGTGGGGTCTGAGAGAGGCTGCAGGCTGCTTGATGGTGTATGCAGAGCCTGACTCTTATTCCTGGGGATGTCCAGAGCCGTGAAGGAGAGTGTCTTCTCTCTTGCCAGGGTGGGGGGGGGTTGCCAGTGTATGGGGGGGGGCGGTGGTAGTGAAAGGCTCTCTCGGGTGGGGCTGGGGTGGGGTGTTGTTGGTCAATGACAGGATCTTATGGTGGGGGAGGGGGGTGTTTGTCAGTGTCAGGGTCTCTCCGTGGGCGGGTGGGGGAGCCAATTTTTGTGTTGCCTAGGGCAGCACGAAACCTAAATACACCACTGACACCAATGGGGCACTATTCCTCCCCCTAATACTAAAGATGCATTGTTTACTCCCACTATCAGCAGTACAATTTATACTCCCAATGGCCACAGTCCAGCCCCCCTAAAATCTGAATGAAAGTAAACTGGCCCTTTATTTGCAAAGTCTGGAGACCCCTGGTCCATAGAATCATAACCCCTGGAATTCCACTAGAGCATGGTCATTCAGTCTTAGGTCCGTATTTCACAAGAGTAAACCTCCATGTCAGCCTTTGCAATGATCCTGTTCAGGGCTTAAATAGTAATGGAAACACAAAAGAAGACAGAGGAACCTCTAAAAGTATCAAATGAATCAAGCTAACATCAAGAGTAAATAGTGCTCACCGTTACATATGATAGAGAGGACACTATGGAAGTGATGTTTGCTCTAAAGAGAGTAGAGTTATTTTTGGAGTCGTATTAAAGTCTAGGTTTCAGATTTTACTATGCAAGTGGAATTGGCTTCTTACCTCTATACAGCCCTACCTTATGAAGCGCTGTTGCTGTGATTAGGTCTGAACAGGGCCATTCATCCATGAGCCTTTTCATTTTCAAGTGTGCTATTTTGTATCCAAACAGTTATACGCAGAAGTGCTTTTTATCCATTCCGAAATAAAACCACTACTGTCTATAGTAGGATCCTGGGCAATTAAAGTGCAACTAACAAGGCTTTAATATCCTTTCAAAATGCTATTTAAAGTGATACTAAAGCTAAAAACCTTGCATTCCTTGCATTAAGGTAAAAACATTTTCTGTTCCTTTGTCCTCCCCCTTCCCTGTATAAAGAGGAAGAGAAGGGAGAAGAGATCCAGTGCCGTGTACTGCTGCCAGGGGCGGACTGACCATTTGAGCACTTGGGCACTGCCCGAGGGCCCAGGGCCAGTAGGGGCCCCATGAGATGCCCCTGGTACATTTCATTGGCTTTTTCATAGGCTTTTTTGGGTGTGGGCGAGGACACAGGGACCCCATGATCCCCTATTGCCTGGGGGCCCCATGAGTTGTCAGTCCGCCCCTGACTGCTGCATCTCTTCTTCTCTTCCTCTTCACACAGCACTTGAGCAGCAGCAGGAGCCATTAGCTCCTGCTGCTGCCAATCAAATGCAGTGAGGAGGAAGTGGGGGGGTGGAGCTAAGTCCCACTGTGTGTGTCTATGGAGCACGGCTCCATAGACACACAGGTCGGGGAGCAAGCAGACTCTGTGTGGCCCCATAGCAAATGGCTGAGGGGACACACAAAGAAGAGGAGGAGCCAAGATCACCAGTGGGGGATCCTAAAAGTGGATTGGGGGCCGTTCTATGCAATACCACTACACAGAGCAGGTGAGTATAACATGTTTGTTATTTTAATTTAAAAAATGACATTAGTAACACTTTAATTCATTTTTAATATTCAACAGAAATTGCTTTGAAAAACATTCCCCTAGCATTCCTATAGGCAGCCATCTTGAGTAAGGGCAGATGATTATTGTAGCATTTGCTTCCTAGAAATCCATATGCAATTAGCTCAGGCATGCAGGCAGTTTTAAAACAAGTAAATATAATATACCTTGTGATCTATTTACTAATGCTAGCAGCATGAGGATTACAAATAGTCAATGCTGATTGAGTTTAGTTCCAATATTGGTGAATCTTCCCTTATCCTTTTATTTACAACCCAATTCCAGGGATTACTCATATGTGTTCTCTTGGCTGTATAAAAAGGTGAGCTCTATTTCCACCCTTATTTATAAATCTGTATCTGTCCCCCGTGGCTCTAAGACTGAGAGCTGAGCAATCAAATACCACTGATCGTTCAGCTCTCAGTCTTCAGGCTGTAGAGAGCTGGTGACTGTCATTCACAACTCTCTGCTTTTTCCACTCCATTGCTCATTGGCACGCTGGGCTGTGGAGGGAGTGGAGCAGATGGTTCAGTCTCCCAGTAGCTCGCTGAGAGGCTGAGCTAGCTGCCGATCCAGGCATCTGGGTGAATCCCGATCATTTGGTCAGGATCTTTTCAAAGCCTGCACTGGCTCTGTGACGTCAGCTGAAAACCTGTCACAAGAGTGCAGAACAAACTGCATGCCTGTGATCCATCGGAGAAGTATAGCCAAATAGCTAATTAATTTGATACTTTTAGAGGCCCCATCTTCTTTTGTATTTTCAGTACTGTTCAAGTTATGGATATAATACAAATACATGCAAAGTAGGTGCAAAGCCTTTTCCTTTAGATTGATTAGATTTTCAACCTGGATCTATTTTTCTCTTTTACAGAGTTCAGTATTGGTTTGTGGGAATTGAATATACAATCCTGATCTTGGTTTATGATGAAATCAGAAAGCTGCTTATAAGGAGGTTTCCTGGAAGTAAGTATCACACAAATAGACAAAAGCTTCATAAAACATGGCAAACTATTGTCATTACGCCAGGTCAAGAAGAAAGGTGTTGAGGGGTGATGCATATTAGGCAAGATCATGTAAGCAGGAGCATAATGTTCAAAGTATAATAACCATAGCACCCTGCTGGTAAAGCGGAGTTCCACCTGAAAAAAAAGTCAGCAGCTACAAAAACTGTAGCTGCTGATTTTTAAAATACAGTCACTTAGCTGTCCCTCGGTCCAGTGATGTCCTCACCACCGCTGGTTTCACCGGCCGTCTTCTCTCCCCGTCGCCGGCATCTTCAGTGTGGGCACCCAGCTGTGACAGCTTGCGGCTTCACAACTGGGTGCCCACTGTGTATACATGAGAAGCTCTGCGCTTTGTGAATCGCCCCGTAGTCTTCTGGGACCTGTCATGTGTCCGCTTCCGATTGCCTAGGCCAGAGGTAGGCAAACCCCTACTTCCACTTCTGATCGCCTAGGCCAGGGGTAGGCAACCTGCGGCTTTCTAGCTGTTGTGGAACTACATTTCCCATGAGGTATTGGTTACAGCTATGACTTACAGAGGCATGATGGAACTTGTAATCCTGCAACAGCTGGAGAGCCGCAGGTTGCCTACCCCTGACCTAGGCGATCACAGCGGAAGTGGGAGTGGTTACCTGTCAAATTCGGGTACCCGCTCCCCAAAGGTGTCAATCCTTAATGGGGAGCGGGGGACAAATGCTTAAAGCGGAACTTCCCCTTTTGGGTTGAGCTCTGCTTTAAGGTTCCGATGGCAGCATGTTATAGTAATATCCTTCTTTGGGGTACATTTAAGGTCCCACACCTTATTTCCTCTCTTTGATGGAGTGTGTGCTTGCCTTAATCAAACTTGATATAGGAATGGTACTTCTAGAACAAGGGTGTCAAACTGGTGGCCCTCCAGCTGTTGCCAGACTACAAGTCCCATGAGGCATTGCAAGATTGACAGTTACAAGCATGACTCCCAAAGGCAGAGGCATGATGGGACTTGTAGTTTTGCAACAGCTGGAGGGCCACCAGTTTGACACCCCTGCTCTAGAAGATCCATGATTGGATCTGTTATAGTTCCATCACCTTAAATTATGAGTTCTGATGGCAGTAACCATTATCTGTCTTATAGACCACATACGGGAAATCATTGGGGCAGTGACATGGTGAAAAGGCTTAGCTTCATCGCTTAGAATTAGCATGTGCCAGGGAATGGCTGCCCCCATCATGGTCTTATCATATGGGAATCTTGCTTCTGATAACTACATACATTAAAATCATAAATTTGTTAATTGTTTTAGCACTGTCCCAAGTTTAAATATTTTTTTCAAATAATGACAACATAATATTTATAGGCTTTAAAACTGTGATATGTAAATAAGATTCATTATTAATTGCTTCCTCTTATTTTTTTGCAGGTGGGGTGGAAGAAGAGCTTTACTATTAAGTGTCCGATCATTTTAAGAACTCCTGTTGTCGTCTTTCTCGTCTGACAAACCCTTCATATTGCACATTTCTAAATATTGTATATTTGTAAATAATTATACTCTGTAAATATAAATAAAGTTTTAAATAAATATTAAAAATATAGCATTGTGTTTGTATTTTATGACATTTATAATATATATATATATATATATATATATACATATACATACTGTATATATACTGTACCCACACACAGACCTTTTTTTTCAGCAGGAACATGGTAAAAAAACAGTTATGGCACCTCCAGCACTGAAGAGATCTATTGTTGCTGTGATGGATCTATTGTTGCTGGGGTGGTATTTTTTTACGGGGGGTGCATTATTTTGGGGGGGTCTATTGTTGACGGGGAGGTCTATTGTTGTGGGGGGGGGTCTATTGTTGCTGGCTGCAGGGGATCTATTTTACTGATTTTCTTATTATCTTTAACAAATTCCATACAAATTACTTAGCACCACAAAATGATACTTGGCTCTGTATTCTCTAAAATGGGTGGTACTGGGAGGTAGGTAGGAAGGGGGAGTTCCTACCCACCTTGGAAGGGAAGGGAGAGTTCCTACCCACCTTGGAAGGGAAGGGGGAGTTCCTGCACCTATTCTGAGAAAAAAAAAAACATATACTGTATATATATATATAGTAAAAACCTGTGCATACCTACACCATAGGACTGTTGTGGGCTTTTGAATCACGTCTCAAGAAATATGACTTTTTATCAAGACATAGTATTATATGGCAAACAGCTCAGCATAACCGGATGTTAAGAGTTAATTTTGTCTTGGTTGAACTACCAAGAATTCTAGTTAAAGAACTGGAGAGAATGGGTGAAGGGATTGTTTTTCTTTCCTCCTAGAGACAATACTATTTTAAAGTTCTACAGGTGATCAAACACCATTATTCAGACTTCAATAAGCAGGTAAACATATACAAGGTCTGGACAGGACAATAGAGGAACCAAACTGATTGTCTGAGAGCTTACCCAAACCTTGTAGAGTGTGATGAACCAACAGACCTCTGAAACTATTACCATATACTATTGTTCACCAAGGGTGAAAGCATTAACAATTGTTTACCATGAGCCCAATACAAGGGCCATGCAAATAGAGAGTTTTTTCCCTACACAGAGAAAAATGTTGATTCTGAAACAAAGGGGTGAAATTCAGGACATTTAAGTCTAAAAGTTCACTGTATATCATTACAAAAATGTATTACAAAAACAGATTAATAAATAAGATGTCATAGACTTTAAAAACACCACTAAATACTCAGCAATGGGAACTATATATCACTAACTTGAGTATTGAGATGATGGGAAGTAAGATGTATTATAAACTAGCATTAGTTACATGTCTTATCAGGAAACAAACAGGATGGTACTTCAAGGAGGAATAACCGAACATACACCTATATTCCATGGTCCCTATTTAGAATAATATAGGTATCACTGCTATAATCTGGAAAGAGCCGTATATTTTATTCCTGAAATTACCTGAAGATTCCACCCAAGGTATGAGTCATCTCAAATGCTCACATTGTTTCTGTGATACATGACCGCCACCTGGCGGGCAGGGTGAGAAATAGCTTATGTACACACATTTCTCAACTAGCCAATCAGGAAGCCTGGTGGGAAGGTATCTTAGAACAATGGACTAGTGGATATAAAAGCCCATGTGCTTTAAGAAAAAAAAAAACCCTCATAAAGACCTCATGGAAAGACCTGACATCTGAAGAAGATCTCTGCTGAAATAACTACTCTTCCATCTTTTCAAACTTCCTAAAACTTTAAACCTCTAAACTTATAACTTCCTACATTCTCCCCTATTGAATCTATCACTTGCCTATATATCAGTCTAAAGGCGTTCCACTGCGAGCTAAATCCACGGGAGAGTTGCCTAGTCTGACGTCCAGGTGTGGTGAGATGTTTATTTGATTTTGTATTAATTACTTTCTCTGTTGTGTAGAATCATAAAATTACCTTAGTGTATTACAACAATATTGGGTAGTTAGATATCTGTAGTCAGATACTGTTTTACTGTTAAAAATTGTTTATTGCCATATTATAAATTTTTTTTCATATTTCATAATTTATTGAATATTAATAACCAGAGTATCACATATCAAGGGCTTACTTCTTGCAATCCTATGGCCACGGCGTGCGAGAATATAACCTTGAGATTATTCGAAATTATTAATGTATTAATAAATTTAATAAATAATCATATTCATTTAAAAATTGTAATTGATGTAATTAGTTAGAAACTTGATTATAGTGTGTCTTACATTGGTAGGTTATATCTTTGATTGTGTTGTTACCAATATTCATTTTATCACCAGTCTTTTGCGTATTGTGTTAATGTATATATAATTTTTGTACATAAATAAATTTTTTTATATTTTTCTATTATAAGGCAAATTTTGTGTGTATGGTACGAAATCATATTGGCTAAAAGAATTCAAGGTATAATAATAAGTGGTGATCAAATTATCAAGGTGTCCAAATTATTGGTTTACTAAATATTTGCCGTATTTTAACGGCTGGAGGCACTGTAAAATATTTCATCTAAGGGAAAGGGACACGCCCTTTATAAATAATAATATATATCCTTACATAAACCACCACAACATAAATTTGGAGGCGCTGCTGAGAGTCATAGAAATCGTACCATAACACAAAACGCACTGGTGATTGTATATTTGTACACTTTATCAAAACATATATTTTGTATCAAAATGGCCATCCAGTAATCACGGATCCACCTCTTCCAAGCATAACGAGGAAAATATGGCGGCTCAAGGCATTGAGCAAGAAGCTATGAAGCCAGCTCGGAAAGCTGCCGGTGCTTGGCAGAAGTATGTTGAAAATGAAAGTAATAGATTATCTCCGCAAGAGATTAAGTTTGGGGGATAGCAATAAGGAATTTGTGGATGAAGAGAAAAAGCAGGCTATTAGCACTTTTGAGGACCTGTTCAACCAAAAGGGCCAGGTTGTTGGGTTTTTAATAGCATTTGCTGGAGCAGAAAGTGATAGAAGCCGTGACAGACTTCTCCTAGAAGCTTGGCCCATGTTATGGTTCATGACCGCTGGAGCTGCCCAGCAGACCATGACTCTAAGGGAAGAGTTGTCAGAGGCCGCCTCTTGTTAGAAAGCAAAAATCAGGACATTGAGTCTTTGAAAGGGAAGCTTGGTCATGCCGGTGTTCGTTTAGACGAATCCGAGAAAACATAGATATGATAGATTGGTCGGAGACTTTCGAAGTGCACAGGACCTATATGAAAGAAACTTTCAGGAATTAAAACAACTTCAAAAGAAGTATCAGGACTTAAAAAAAGATGAGGTGGAGTACTTCAGATCAGAGAGGTTATCTCCTGTCAAAATTAAAGTTCACCCAGGGGATAAGCATGACCAGTCAGAACTTACCTTGATAAAATCTGAGCAGAAAACTCTGGAGGAGCAGATTATAAGGTTGACGGTCCCAAATAAATTCTGGGGTCCAAAGACGGACCAAACCCAGTCAAGCCAGAGGCTGATGAGCGGAGATACCCGCATCACAGCGAAGTATCTGATAGTGAGTCAGGGTCAGAATATAGGTCACCTCCTAGGCTTTCAAGATACACTCCAGAGCGCTCTGAAGGAAAAATATGAGGTTTTCATATAGGCAGGAAGGGAAATCCCAGGGGTCATTCAGAGATATGACACCCCAAAGGTTATTAAGTTCCTGAAGGACACTGTTCCTATGTTTTATAAGAAAGGGTCCCTTGAGGTCACGAACACATAAGAACATATGGAACAGACGTTAGAGATTCTGGGCATTAGAGATGACCACAGACGACCAAAATAAAATTGCTGCCATGGGTGTTTTGAAGAGAAATACCGGCAATTCTTTGAGTTAACTTTGAGGGCCTATTCACAATCAGTCCCTGGAGAGAGGTTAAACATAAGTGCCACATGGAATTTGGGCCTTATAAAACTGTAACCTCTGACAAGGCTGCGGCCTACATTTTAAAGTGTGGTCCTCAACCAAAGCCCTGCAGAATTTCTGGCTGTCCTCAGAAAATGCCTAATTTCCTGGCTTGAAAAGGATCCCAATCCTAACCATCCTAACCAGCTGAATTCAAAGACAACTATTCTATTAAGCATTACCTGATTACATAAAATTGGGAACTTGCAAAGGATTACAGAAGTGGGATGCTCTCTTGATTGGTTGGTGAGAGAGAGTGACTATTTTAATTCTCGATCCAACAGTCCAAGTAGGGGCGGGATAAAAAGAGAACCTAAAAAATAGCCCCAAGATAGTAGCAGCAGCCACTACCGTTTCCCCTCCAAATCCAAATTTGCAGGCAGAGAAGAAATCATATGCGGAAGTAGTCCGTGGGGGTAAAACCAATGGTTTCCCCTAGATTTGTACCTCAAACCCAGCAAGTGAAGGAGGGTCCATAACTTTTGCACCCCCAAAACCAGTGGGTGAGAAAGGATAGGCAAAAGCCCAGGAAACTAACGGGTAGTGGAAAGTGGGAAGAATAAAAAGTATGGTAAGGGTCAGTACAGTGAGGAGAATCAAAGGAGTCAATGGTATCCTCAGAGGTTCTATTATCCTCGCCAAAAACCAACATGGGAATTTTTATGGGAACCCCAATTTCAACAGGCCCCATAATTACAATAAGTAATCCCAATTTTAATAAAAATTCCGACTTCCAAAGATTTCCTCCACGCCAATGAACACCCTCAGGCTCAAAGGGGGGGATAACAGTACCCAGGCTCCCTTTAATAACAGGGAGACCCCAAAACCTCAGAGAGAACAATGGCGTCGGGACCAGAGCAGTAGTTCTGACTCTGAGTCTCAATTTACCAGTCCCGTCCAAAATACAAGCGGTAAGTATAGGAAGAGGGAGAATCAACAGAATGACTCCTCTGAGCGTATTGGACAAATAGAGGCACAGGTCAGCAAAATGGTCTGAAACAAATGG